AAAAGAGTTTATCCAGAGCATTCAAATGAGCTTTACTGGAATATATAATAACCAGGAAAAATAAAAGCTGAAAAGATCGCTTCAGGGGTACAAGCATAATTTAAACCTTAATAGTAGTTAATGAACAACACAATGTTACTCAAATCTCATCAGATTTGGGTTATTATTATTATTATTAGTAGTAGTAGTAGTAGTATTCACAAATACTTTTTTAATTTGTTTGCACTGCTTCCCTGTTTCAAACAGAGAGCCACCCGGTAACACTTTCTATGAAGCCTGTATTTATAATACATTATAAGGGTATTCTTAAGGCATTATAATAAATGCATAATGTATTATAAAAAAAAACTTATATGCAATATCATCTCATGATTAATCATAACAACAGTTTTAATGCATTATAATATTTACTTATTTGTGCTTTTAAGAGTATGATGATTTATTACACACAATGAACACAATGCATCCACTTACATTAGATTATATTTCCCATAGTTATAATGTATTATAAGTCTCATATCTTGCCATTGTTAACTTGTTACTTTACTTAAAGCAGACAAAGACCAATTATAAATAATAACAACAACAACAATAATAATAAATAAAACAATATTTTTTCTTAAACAGCCATAAGATCAGATATTTGATCAGATGAATGTGTTATATGGCACATTTGCATTTAACCATATTTAATGCAGTATCAGCATGATAGTAAGATACTGTGACAGTCTTAAATAAATAATGTCAAGATATGAGATTTATAATCCATTATAAATTAAGTGGATTTAAAATGGTGTTCATTGCGTGTTATAAATAAGCATACTCATAAAAGTTATAACCACAAAGAAGTAAGTTTTATAATGTATTATAATTGTTATGATTATTTATGAGATGAAACAACATATTATAATTTTTTTATAATGCATTATGCATTCATTATAATGCCTTAAGAATAGCTTTATAATGTGTTATAAATATGGGCTTCATAGACCTTCTGATTAATCACAAAACATAACATAAAACATGTCCATTTAATAGGTTGTGTTTCCCTTCAGATCAGAGATGCATTTCAGCTGGAATGTCTCTCAAATTGTCTAATAATTCAAAGCTATGCAGATGTGAACAGTCTTTTGTAGAAAAATTATAATTTAATTATCTATTCCTGCCATCAAGCTTCAATGAATTATTATTATTATTATTATTACTGTCTTAAAGCAGATCTATATTCATTGCTCAATGATCTCACAATGAGTCCCCTTAAATAACGCAAAATCTAAACTCACCTGTACTGAAATGAAGCATAAAGAGAAAAAGATATAAACAGTCCCTCATGGTTCGTTTTCACTCAGTCTGTCAACAGTGTCTTAATTCTTTGTTTCCTCTTAGCTGTTACTCCTTAGAAACTACAACTTCCTGTTTCTTTTCTTATTTAAACAGTGTTTGTATTTAATTCTATCGCTGACTGATCATAATTACCATCAGTTTTCACTGCACCGAATTTCAATAGGTGTATTATTTTTAGTGCCACTTGCACTATGAATGACATTTAGACATTTGAGATTTATGACCAATAGTCTCACAATATTTTTTTAGATTTTTATATCACACTTTTTTTTTATTTTATGTAAGCATCATAACAAAGTATGTATATACATTATTATGGTAGTATACACTTGTTTTAATAGGCCAGGCTTAAGAAGCAGCACTTAGTATTATACAATATGTACTGTAAGCTCAGCCATCTCTACCCGGTGTTTGGTCAGAAGGAGCTCTTTGAAGCCAGGTTTACACTGATCTGTGTTGAAAAGGTCTACGTGCATATCAGTGGACCACAAGGAAGAAACGAATGTCTGAAGTGGCATATTTCACAGAAGTGAAAGTATGCAGATGGAATGAGAAAACTTTATTTCTGGGAACAAATGCTCATCATTCTAAAATAAACAGCACACTCTCAAAGAGGAGCCCAGTAAGTACACTTCGCTTTCTCAGTGATATGGCAGACGCCAGTATTAGGACATCAGAAAAGGACCAGGACAGCTGTCCAGTCTGTCAAGATCTACTGAAAAATCCAGTGACTTGTAAATGTGGACAGAGTTTCTGTTCGGCGTGCATTCACAGTCTGAAGCAGTACAGTCCAAAGGGATCCCACAGCTGTCCTCAGTGTGGTGAGGCGTTCGCTCCAAAGCCTGTTCCACGCAGATTCATCAAGGTTGAGAGAATGAAAAAAGTGGAGCTATCTTCTTCAAACCATCCCTCGGATCCAAGCTATGCTGGACCTGGAGATGTAGGGTGTGATGAATGCACTGGAAGAAAACACAAAGCCGTCAAGTCTTGTTTAATGTGTCTGGCTTCCTTCTGTGAAAGCCACTTAATACCTCACACCACAGTGACCTATCTGAAGAGACACAAGCTGATCGAAGCCTCCCCAGACCTGCAGGAAAACAACTGCTCCCAACATGACAAACTCAATGAATTCTATTGCCGTACAGACCAGAAATGTATTTGTGCTTCGTGTGTATTGAATGAACACAAAGGACATGATACGGTTGAAGCTGAAACAGAAAGGATGGCAAAACAGGTGAGAACTTGTTCATGTTATATGCCTGACTTGATGGGATCAAATGATTTTTGATGTTTCCATCAGTTCCCTGAGGTAAAATGGTTGTAAAATGCTGTAAAAAGAAAGTTGCATGAGAGCACATGATCATAGCAGTAAACTAGTTAGACCAGTCAGGGAATATGTTTTAATATGTAGCTACATTTCCCCCCCTAAAGACTGAGATTGCAGAAAAGCAAAGGGAAGTACAGCAAAGAATCAAGGACAAACAGAAAGAGCTGGATGAGCTGAAACGGTCTTTGGATACACTAAAGGTAAGAACAACCACTGCAGGAGCAAACATGTGTAGATGAATAGATAAGAGAGATAAACACATTATAACCTGTACAGTTACATGTGACCTGTTGATTAATTAAAATAGTATCATCAAGAAATCTTGCTAAGAAATTAGCAGTGAGCAAAATAAAAGTTACATGCAACATGGTTTAAACTTGTACACGTTCTTGGTACAGTAGAATTGACACTTTACGGTACCTAAAATTATAATTGTATGTTATTGAAAGAAATATGAATTTGAATGCAATAGCTTTTCATTATAGCTTATAAATTGGATGGATAAGTTAAACAAATGTAGAGAACCACAAAATTCAACTGCTACTTTGAATGGATGTAACTGAAGAGGTTGAATGAGAGGAATAATGAGAGATGCCCCGCTCTTAAAAATAAAGTTTTTTTTTAAAATAAAAAATAAAGTTAAAAAAAAAAATTAGTTTATTGGCATAGGTGGTTTCATGAGGAGCCTTTAACCTTCATGTAACCTTTCCATACCACAAAAGGTTCTTTACAGTAGAAAAGGTTCTTTAGATTAATAAAATGTTCTTCACACTAAGAAAATAATGGTTCTTTTAAGAACTGTTCACTGAAAGGTTCTCTGGGGAACCCCAAGTGGTTCTTCAATGCATTGTTGTGAAAACATGCTTTTGGAATCATTATTTTTAAGAGTACAGCTCACTCTGCTTTCTAACAGTGCTCTGCACAGGCTGCATTAGAGGATAATGACAAGATCTTCACTCAACTGATCCACACCATTGAGAAAACACGCTCTGAGGTAGCAGAGCTGATCAGAGCTCAAGAAAAGATGGAATATAGTCGAGTTGTGCGACTTCATGAGCAGCTGGAGCAGAAGATTGCTGAGCTCCACAGGAGAGACACTGAGCTACAGAAGCTTTTAAACACGGATAATAATGTTTATTTCCTAAAGGTAATTGCTACTTTTTTGCCATATACTGTATATTACTCTTAACACCTTTAAATTTAGCATTTTTAAATGTAAAAATGTATTTTAGTAGTCGGAAAATGTGTAAATATGTCAGTCTGTTTGGTATTTCACTCTACAGCATTTCCAGTTTCTATCGTCACTATCTGCATCTGTGAATTCGCCCATCGTAACTGTCAGTCAGCACATTAAACCTGATCTTGTGAGGAAGTCTCTTTCTGATCTTAAAATGGAATTGCAGAAATTTGGCAAGGAGTACAAAATTATTTCAAATGGTGAAAGAAAAAAATATTTATATAAGTGTACACAAGTGAAAGGTTCGCATAGATTAGCAATAATAATGCACTATTTTATCTGTATGTTTACAGTTGCAAATTTTCAGTTGAGATTTCCTTCTGAGCCAATAACCAGTGAGGATTTTCTACGGTGTAAGTTACACATAATGTACTGTACATAAACTCACATAATGTTGTAAAACTGTGGTTAATTTATTAAAAAATGTCACTAATCTGTTCTCTTCAAAGATAATGTACACATTTGTGGCTTTGTGTCTGCTTTTATCTCCAGATTATCAGAAGTTTACACTGGACATCACCACTGCACACGATGAACTCCGAATTTCTGAAAACAACAGAAAAGCAACGTGCCGTGAGACAATACGATCGTATATTCAGCATCCAAACAGATTTGATTTCTGGCCCCAGGTGCTATGCAAAGAAAGTATAACTGGATGCTGTTACTGGGAAGTTGAATGGGAAAAAGGAATATGGGGGATCTACATTGCTGTTTCATATAAAGGGGTGGGAAGAAAAGGACAGGATCGTGTGCATTGGTTTGGACACAACAGTCAGTCCTGGAGTCTGGAATGTTCTCCAACACCTTGTATCTGGCATGACAATAATAAAACTGAGATCTCAGGCCCTTTATCCTCTAAAATAGGTGTGTGTGTTGACTACAAAGCTGGATTTCTCTGCTTTTATGACATTTCTGACAAGATGACCCTCTTACACAGAGTCCAGACCACATTCACTCAGCCCCTTCATCCTGGGTTTTGGTTCAGTATGTCTTCCTCAATATCGCTGTGTGACCTGTGAATAAGTACAAGTAGCTGAAGTATGTTATGCTTTTGCTGTTTATGAAATATTTTGTGTAATGTTACTTTTATTAAGAAAGGAAGTAAAACTTAGCACTACATAATAATTAAAGATTTTTGTTGCACATAAATATTCTATACAGTTAGAAGCTAGAAAAGGGAAATATTTGAAGGCATGAAATATACATTTTGCCTGGTATCATTTACACTTTTCCCCCTTCTTTTTTAAACAATTATTGTCCTATTATGTAATGTTGATAATATAGTAATATGTTTATTCATGTGGGAAAAGAATAATAATAAAACATTTCTTTTTCTAAAGATTAAAGTTATGAATAAAATTATGAATATGCAGGTGTCTTCATATGCATTTATATATTATTGCTTTCATATTTACAGAATTTATGTGAAAAACACTGAACTGTATGTGTAAGTACAAGTGCAAGGGGGAAAAACAGGTGAGAATGAATCAGGAGGTTTTGGAGTCAGATTCATGAAGCCAATGATTTTAATAAAAACAGATTATGTGTTGATCATTATAGTTCTGACATGAATTATAACCCGAATGCAGCTCACATATATAGGCTGCATATACATATACATAGGCTATACATATACATATACATATACACACATATGTAGGGTAGACTGAGTACAGTAGAGACACTTTCTGCTTTTTTCATCACTACACAAAAACTAGATGCCGAAATGAAGAGATTTTTCACATGATATTTCTTTTGCTTTTGTACTAAAATATCATAAACTAATAATAGCCATAAGTAGTTTATATTTTCCACAATTAGCCCAAAAAACATAAGGTCCATTTTTGTCTCACGAGCATTTGCTAATATGTTTAGGTACAGTAATTTTACTTTAATGGCAATGTATGGGTCCTTTTCTATGCAATTAAAGTGAAATAACTGAACATAAATATAGGAGCCTGATAAAAATGCTCATTTTATATGAAAATTTCATACGACAAATGAAACGCGCTGCAAATGAAAAAAAAAACACCTGCATCTTCAACATTTTGACAACACACGCGCTGCAAATTCTCACAACACAACCAAATCATTTGTTTGTGTTGTAAGAAGTTGCAGCGCGTTTCTGCATTTGTTTGTGTTGTATTTGCAGCGCGTTTCTATGTGAGATTTCATCGTATATATTAACATATCTACTCATTAAATCCTGTCTAACGTGTTTAACTTCTTTTGTGAAACTCATTTGAAACCTCATATGGCACTTCTGTCCAAACCTCAAACTCAATTCTTCCTACGTCCTTGTTTCGCTTGTGCAGACAGAACAGACTGGCACCTCAGAAACGCTGTGTGACTGGACTCTGGTATTCAATGGCTATATTTTATGAAGAAGTAAAATGATTGCAAAATGGTAGTCTTTATGTGAATAACCACACCATATCTAAAGTATTATGTGGCTCAGCAATGAATTGGTTATCGTAGCTAGGAAACGAAACCTCAAACAATAAAGCCTGCCCAACCGTTGGAACGGATTAACGCACGGGCCTACCGGGCACGTGCCCAGTGCACTAGACCAGAGGGGTGGCCAGCCGAAATACTGCTCAGCAGCAACGCGATTTCAACCGTGCAGGATTTTTAGCAAAGTGGGTTTTTAATGCAGCTTCCAAAAGACCAAAAATGGCTGAATAATATTTTTTTATATATTTGATACGATTAGAACGTTCAGTGCGGCACAGAATCAGCTGCCAAATTCAAATCGGCGTTCGTGCTTTGGCTGGCGTTAAACCAGACGCGTTTTTACAGTGCTGCGCATTATAACCAATCACACAGGATTCTGTTGAGCTTATGAATGCAATGGCCAATCAGAGGCATTCAGATGAGTCATCGCTGAAAAGCCCGTGTTTTGTTCACTGCGCGCGCTCGCTGACTGAATGCTGCTCTCTGGTGAATTCTCTCATCATAAACAACGTGCAGATGTGTGTAGGATGTAAGTAATATATTCATTTCACAGGATAAACAGCTTCAGTGATTATAATGGGAGTTGTTGAGAGTGCTTGAACTCTGTCTAGACTGAAGTTAATATTCTTTGATAATGCAAATATTCTTTGCTCTTACAATGCTCTTACTCTTAGTAACTTACAATGTTTTATTAAATTTACGTTTAGTACAAAGTCAGTCGTATTAAAAATATTCTATGACATGACACCCATATCTACAAGTTAAAAGACGGGTTTTATGCATAGGCTAGATTACACTAATATTAGGCTACTTTTCCCATAGCCCATTATAGATAAACTAACATGATCTATAAAGGTGCAAAATGCATTTACTTATATTTGAGAATCATGATATTTTATGATATAGTTAACAAGTTTGGGAAAATTTCGAATAAAAAGGAACAAAATTTCAACCGACAGGGGCCTTTAATCGGTCCGTGCCCAGGGCACCGCTGTGTCATAATCCGTCCCTGCCCAACAGCATGAGTGAAGTTTAGCCTTTCATTTAAAGGGGGGGTACAATGCTGTTTCATGCATTCAGAGTTGTTTACACTGTTAAAGTGTTGGCTTCTCATGCTAAGCATGGACAAAGTTTCAAAAAACAATTTGGACATATGACAGAGTATTTCTGTTTGCCGAAAATCTTACCTCCGGGTTCGTACAAGTTTCAGAGAGTTTTTTTCCATCAGTGGCTCTTAATGACGTAAACGAGGGTGGAACTCCTTATATGGGCATTTCTCCCGGAAGAGCGCGCCCGCGCATGCATCGACCAGAGCAAGAGCGTGATCGCGCCCATCAACGCGCTTCATCCGGCCGCAGCGCTGCAGGGGACTTGCTCGGGAAGAATGTCTCCAATCCAAAGAAGTGTGTTTTTGGTTGTAAGGGAAAGATAACTTTGTTCAGCTTCCTAAAGAACCCAGCGTTATGTAAACAGTGGATACAGTTTGTTTTTCCGGAGCAGCAACCAGTTTCACAAGTGTGTTTGAGGAACTATTTATAAACAAGGCCCAGTTCGAAGCTGGATTTGCACATCCTTTGATACTGAAAGATGGAGCGGTCCCAGCTATAAAAGATCCCGGTCATGATTCAGAACTGCAGACGGTAAGTGAAACGCATCAAATGTCTGTTTTGTTGGCATTCAGCGCGCAATTGCTTGTCACTCTTTAGCTCCGCCCACGGCGCGCTTCCAGGAGCTCTGCTTTTTCCGGAGAGAATCCTAAAGCCGTATCTTTCTTTTATAAATATGATAAAACTAAAGACTTTTTGGAGATATGAAGGATGCAGTACTACTCTATAGGTACTCAAGATTAACATGAGATTGGGTGAAACTGTGTGTGTTATGCCCCCTTTAAGACATCACACAGAGAACGTACTACTAGTAGGCCTATCTGTAATGTTTACTCTGTCCCTGGAATCATAAAGGAATATTTTTTTCCCACAGGACCAGGTTGAGAAGATGCAGAGAACAACCACGCAGAAAATCCAGGAGAAACAGAAAATGATAGAGGAGCTGTGGTTGTGAAAACGCTGAAGTGCACTCACAGCACTCTGCTCAGACAACAGTGGAGCACAATGAGAAGATCTTCACTGAGCTCATCCTCTCTAAGAAAAGACAGCATGAGGTGACACAGCTGATCAGAGATCAGGAGAGGACTGAAGTGAGTCGAGCTGAAGGACTCCTGGAGCAGCTGGAGCAGGAGATTGCTGATCTCCAGAGGAGAGACACAGAGCTGGATCAGTATCCACACACACACAGAAACATTTTCATTTCAAGGTAAAACCACAGGTTGCCTGAGGCATTTTCTCTGGTTCAGTGCAAAACATGCATGGTATGTTTGGAAATTTGTTGTGCACATTATAAATACAGCAAAACAATCTAAATGTTCATACTTAATTTTTTTGAATGTTTTTCTCAATATAAACTTTTCAGATTCTCTCTGTTTCTTCTGAAACTTAGGAGTCATCCAGTATGACTGTTAGTCATATTCAATTTGATGGCCTAAGGAAATCTCTGAGAGTGAATTTTTCCCCCCTCTAAACTGGAAAAAAACATTACATGATATTTGTTAAAAACAAAAATGTAAAAAATATATATTTAAAATTATTATTATATTTATTATTATTTTAAGTTTTTTTCTTTCTGTTGACCTTAATTGTTTGGAAGAATTCAGGAGAATCTCAGCTGAGCAATAAAACAAGACAATCCTAATAAAGTAAAATTATTATTTTTTTATTCTAAAATTTTCCCATGTTTGCTGCTTGATTATTTAAACTTGGCAGACATTATTAGGCATAAACATTGTTCTCACAAATTTGAATAAGGAAAATCTATCTGTAATGAACGAAACACTGTAGCCTATACAATGTAAGGTATAAATTATGGTTTCTCATAGGGATTTCCTGACCAAAATGAGTTCATGAAATTGTAGTGTAATTTTAATCTATAAAATTGTTTTTAAATAAAAATGAATTGAAATGTAGTAACAAAAATATCACTAAAATATTTCACAAGTGAAAGCGCAAGATGTGAAATCAAGTAACTATTTATATTCATCTGACAAAAAAAGATGTCATTACAAAATGTATGTGGAGCTTCCTGTAGTACTCCTAATATCCAATAGGGGGCATAAGAGTTCTCAATAACGATGCTACGTCAACTCAAATTGGAATGACGCGCACGTATTGTTGATATCTAGCGTGAAAAAAATGGCCTCTACATGGGAAATACATTTAACGGTGGTTTATTTAAGCGTCTTGTGTGTCCTGGCCAATGCACAATCGAAACAAATAACCACGGTGGGTGACATTTAATATATTTTGAGGTAGTTTAATGTCTTTCTGATGCATTCACGTGTAGCAATACAAAGGCTTATCAGATAGCATAGATATCTGCCAATTTAATAGAGATTTGGTTTTTAAAGATGCTTACATCATGGTTTGACACATTTAAGGAAATCGTCGCTTTAACATTCGCGGTTAGTTTACCAAAAGCAGTGTCCATCAGCTTTGAAAACTTCAGCACATGACTGTCAATTCTGGATCCTGTACGCGTTTGTCATTGTGTAACTCGTGTGGTTTGTTTTCACAGGAAACAGTCGTGTTAAATGTGACAGCGGTTAGTGAAACTAACCAGACTAAGTACAGTGTACAGGTAAGACAATCACTCGTGGAATAATTACACGAGTATTTTTGGGAATAGTGCATCACATCCGTATTATGTTTTGTGGAGGAGTGATAATTTAAAATGATTTCTCATCCCTTCTTTCAGATCAATTTAAATCTAGGTCTTTTGGACAATGAAACATTCATTAATGGAGCTCCTCTCAAGCCTTCAGGAGTCACAAGGATGACATGTCCCGCTCTATTGTGTATGAATCTTTGTCTTCCTTCTTTTCTTTTTTTTTTTTTGATTTATTAATTAAACTTATTCCTGTGTTTAACTTCTTGTCAAGAGAAACGGAGATGAACTAACAATGAAACATACTTACTAATCTTAGTTAATGTTAATTTTCACATTTGCTAATGCATAATATTAAGATCAAAAGTTGTATCTGTGAGTCCAAACAGATGATAAAAACATCACAATAATCCACAAGTAATCCACACTCCAGTCCACCAGTTTGTTGTTTATCAGCTTGTGAAGCAAAAATCAGCATGTTTGTAATTCATCAAGACATATTTTTTAACTTCAAACCATTGCTTCCAGCTAAAATATGAATCCTGTATCCATAATATTGCTTTCTTTTCCTGATGGACTGGAGTTGTGTGGATTATTGTGATGTTTTTATCAGCTGTTTGAACTCTGACGCCATTGGTGAGCAAATTATGTAATGTTAAATTTCTACAAAACTTCTGATGAAGAAACAAACTATATCTGGGATGGCTTGAGGTTGAGAAAATTTAAAGGGGTCATATGATGTTGCTAAAAAGAACATTATTTTGTGTATTTGGTGTAATGTAATTTGTTTGTGGTTTAAGGTTCAAAAAACACATTATTTTCCACATACTGTACATTATTGTTTCTCCTCTATGCCCCGCCTTTCTGAAACGCGTTGATTTTTACAAAGCTCATCGGTCTGAAAAAGCGAGGTGTGCTGTGATTGGCCAGCTATCCAGTGCGTTGTGATTGGCCGAATACCTCAAGCAATAAAAGTTACGCCTTCTTTCTTTGCATGAACATTTGGGCGGTGTTATGTAAATCTTCACACATCGTGACGTAGATATGTGGGGACGTGTTAGAACGAGCTGTTTTAGGTAGGCGTGGTTGACTCTTAACTTTTATAAAGAATATCTTTTTGGATTTGAGACTTTAGTCTTTGCAACTTTACAGATCTTCTTTATGCACTAAGAGCTTGTAACACTCCAAAGAGAAAGGAAAAATTGAAATCGCATCATATGACCCCTTTAAATTTTTGGGTGAACTATACCTGTAAGTAACAGCAATTTATTGTAAAATGTTACATTTTTCTTTGTGTTTGCAGTGGATGGTTCTAATGTGAGCTCTAGTAATCTGGCGGATTGGTTGGTCAGCAGTGAGCTGAGGCTGATGGTAAATCAGTCATATGTTCAGAGTGATGCTGGAGAGCAGCTTCTGTTACTCGTCCTGAGTCAAGAGATAATCCAGCTGGCGGATGAAAAGGTTTTAATCGTTACCCTATAAATTATGACTGACAACTGAATTCTTTTTTTATATCTGTTATGTCCTTTATGGAGTAATTCAGTCTTAAACATGGAATGGCAGCTTCAATGCTTTGGAAAAGATCCAAACTCTAGATAGAGGCTGTACACGTGAATGTGATCCAGTGCTTGATGTCGTACGTTTTGTAGGTCCAGCAGCCAGACGCGTGTGAGGTGGAGATCCTGTGGAACCAGAGCTCTGAGGAGATCACACAGGTGACCAATATTTACCCTTCAACAAGAAGCAAGCTCTCGGCCATCCCACGAGAGAGTGACGTCTTGGTGACTAATGTGTCAATTCGTAACACAGGTAAATTTGTGGAGTAAAATGCCTCTTGTTTGTAATCTCCAAAAAATTATTGTGATGCTTTAACTGGAAGGATTTCTATGAATATTTTTCTGTCTTCACAGTTGAAGACCAAGTGCTTACCACCAGCCACTATCTACTCAAACATGCAGAGACCACTCAGGAGGAGATTGCCGCTCCGGGGAAACTCCCTGAAACTCCCTTGCGGATGGACCCTGAAACCCTGTATGAGTCTAGAGAGGAAGAGGAAAGGACTTCAGATTCCTTGCTGCTTGGGCCTCCTCTAAGTGGGTCCATGTCCTCCTACAGTGTAAGTGACTATGTACTGCCACTGTTAACTCTTGGGCCATATTAAATGTATTAAATGTTATTTTTATGTATGTATGTGTGTGTGTGTGTGTGTGTGTGTATATATATATTGGCAGGTAGGCTACTTCACACACGCATCTCTTTGTTGTACAAGTTGTAACTGATGAAAATAACCGTCATTTTTATCGTTCCGGTCAAATATTGCAGCACAAATATTAACATCTTTAATATGTGAATGCTGGCAAATGACCATGGCATAAGCGGGATAATCAACAGCTAGCTGTGCATTAAACGATTGCACCCTCCGCTGCGCGTCGGGTGGTTCTTCGCCTCCACGTCGCGCACACAAATCGTTTAATGCACAGCTAGCCGTTGATTATCCCTTACATGTATATATATATGTATGACAATATTACTGTTTTTACTGTATTTTTTATCAAATAAATTCAGATTTGGTGAGCATGAGAGACCTAAAACATCTTGCTGTCCTCAAACCTTTGAACATGTCTATAATTGAGAATAAAAATATTATAAAATTTTTCAAACTAGTCACTCTGGATGACCTTAATTTGTCACATGTTCTGTTTCTCAAGTGTCATGTTCCTCATGTTATGTTATTGTGTTTGGGCAGGTGGCATGTCAGTGGGTCGAGGGCCTGAGAGATAAACTGAGGCGCTTCTGGTCTGATTCTGTCCCGCTCTTCTTCTTGATCATGTGGGTGGTGGTGGTTGGTGTTGCAGGTTCAGCTGTCATCATTAAGATCCTGGATCTTCTGTTCCCATCCTGTGAACACAGGTACAACCTGCACCGACCCGTTACTGGCCTTCTCAACAGGCCCTGTATTAAATGCATGGCCATTTGGTACTGTAAATTTAAACACAGCTGGATTGGCATACAGGGTAGTTTGCTGAATAACAAGTCTAAATAATAATAATACATGTTTCTTTTCTGTCTTTCTTAGGGGATTCTTTCATCTGAATCCAGAGACTCTGATGCCAGATGATGAAAAACAGAGGCTAGTAGATAACATGGATGAAGAAACGACAGAAAAAAGCATTTTGATAGAAAAGTGATGGATGTGTTCTCATCAGTTTGGTTATGTGGCTTTATTTGGTCGTCAATACCAATGATTTCAATGTAGCACTTTAAAAGAAAAAAATATTCCCCAACATTTCCTAATGAAACCGATTTCTATTTTCACATCTGCGTCTGTTTAACAGCATAATTAGCAAATTATTATTTGTATTTTTCCCTACATTGTGAGGTGGAATGGTTAAGGTGCACAAATTTAAATAAGCACAGTCCCTGAAATGTCCCTGCCTATTCCCCACTACAGTGGATGTTTTATGCTAATACTAGGAATTGATATTGCCTCTTGTATGGAAATGACATTGTATCATTACTAACAACTAAAGGGTATAGCACTAAAATGGACAAATAATTCATTAAAGTTAATGTAAAGAACCATCAAAAATTCTTTTCAACTGTCCATTTTATTTAAATGGATTATTTCTTATTTCTCATTGGGGGTCTTTTTAAATGGTCTGTATGAAACTATGTTGCTTAATGTTGTTTAACGTTAATATTCATGTTGCTTCAGATATTGCCTGTTACGCTAAGCATGTATGCCAGCAATACATTTCAACTTCGACCTGCTTTAGATGACTGAAGACTTGTATACTTTGGCCTGAGCAATCTGTCAACGTATTCCTCATTACAATATTTCATTCATTTCAAGCATTGTACTTCAACGTTTTAAACCCTTCAACAGGGTGCTTACAATTCATTGTTGCCCTGTCATTGTCTGTTAATGAAATCAGTAGTTTTCTGTCATTCGGATGCATGTTATGACTTGTTTTTCTTCACAGTTTGTTACATGAGTAAATCCTGCACAAATGAGTTTGTCTTAGTGAGTCTTTTTCAAATAAAAAAAAAAATTTATTCAACAAAATATATAATTTTACAAATTGATCATGGCAATGGAATGTCACTAATGAAAAGAAACCAGTAACCGGTTCTATCGTGTTTATAAAAGTCAAGTGCTAGACACTATTAAGACAATTGTCCAATGCTGGAAACTTTGGCCTTTAGATCAACCACAGTGGCACAAGTGCAGTAAACCAATTAGCTTGCATAGCTTTTCACCTCAAGTAGCATTTGGAGACAACAGAGAAGAGGATTTGCTGGTCTTTGGTCATTGGCAGTGATTTTACAAGACAAAACAAGCAGCCCATTCCTATGTCCACAACCTCAGTAATTGTCTGTACACACTACAGTAAGGCAACACATGGGGCTGTTTGTTATAAGGGCACCAAAACTAGTTTTTCAGACTCCAGCATTCTGGATTTACTGGATAATTAGTGCAGTCTTCATCCTTACAAATTCATTTTAAGGAGAAAACTTAACCTGTATCCAGCTTCTGTAGATGTAAAACCAATTCTACTACTATTAAATTAATTAAACTATTACTATGAATCTGTACTCTCATACATACCTCATGTAAGGCAAGACTTGTCACCCTTTGAATTCAGTTTGGTTCAGGGTGGAAATGCTTTGAGATTTAGTGAATCTGGCACTCAAGTCTTTCAAAGTGCTAACAACGACTGTAAGGAGGAACAATCAAGGTTCTTTGGGATCATCAGCAGGAGCCAAACTCCGCTATCCACTTGTCATATTTTTCTAGGTCAGCAGCAGATACAGACTTGGACACTTTCGTCAGTGCCGTCTCAAAGTCCTCCATTGTGGTGGGCATGTGCATCTCATCTTTTGACAAGTTTCGTATCTCCTCAGGGCTCAAACCCTCAATCCGCCTTCTCATTGCCATTAGGGATGCATCTCTGCAATTATTCAAAAACAACAAATCACTTCTAGAATTGTGGCACTTTAAACACTGAAAATAATTTCAGGTTCCACACAAAGGGCTGTACCTGCAAACGTTGGTGATGTCAGCACCAGAGTATCCCTCCATCTGCTCAGCGATCTTGTCCATGTTGACATCATTGGCCAGCTCCAGCTCCTTCAGACTGATCTTGAGTAACTCCACTCTTCCTTTAGCTACAGTAATACAAATTATGATTTTAAATACTTCCATTATGTTTATATATCTTGAGCTGGGGTGTATTAAAGGTGGGGTAAGCGATTTCTGGTAGCCAATGTTGACATTTGAAATCACCAAAACAAACACGCCCCAACCCCAAAAGGGTATCGCCCCTATTTTGATAGCTACGCCCCACATATACGTACGCAACCCAGGTAACGATTAGTTCTGTGAAACAAAATGCCCCACACATACGTACGCAACCCAGGTAACGATTAGTTCTGTGAAACAAAGCAAAACCAATGTTACACCGTGTCTACACCGGACGCGAGTGGCGCGGCACGACAAAATACTATTAGAACTCATTATAATCAGTGATACTGTCTACACCATAGATACATATATATATACATATCTATGGTCTACACTGGAAGCGGCGCGGCACGACAAATCCCTGACAGAAAACTGCTGCTGCACTCTATTTATGACGTATTGACACAAATTTCAAATGATTTTCAACGGGCTCCTTGAGTTCTCTCCAGCGCTGGAAAGCTGATCCGATATTTTCACGGGTCCTACTTCTTGCCTTATTGCAATAAGCCCTCTTTTGTTCCTTATCCGCCATCTCTATCTTTCTGTCACTCGGCTCGGCTAATGTCCGTCCTGTGCACTGAACCCTCTCTCCTCCACATCATGAGTAGACACGCCCCTTACTGCTGATTGGCTACAAGTTTGTTTTGCTACTTGGCCCGAATCAGTTTTCTAAGCGTCTTTGAAAAATCGCTTACCCCACCTTTAAGCTGATGGCACTTAATACAGTATGATGGGTGATGGATTCTGGGTAATTCTGAATACCTGAGGGCAGTGGGATGTAAATTCTCTTCTCTAGTCTGCGTCTCAGAGCTTCATCGATGTCCCATGGGAAGTTGGTGGCTGCCAGAACCATGACCATTTTTGAAGGGTCATTTTCAGACGTCCCACCAACACCTGGAAAATACAAAAGATGTGACTAATGGCGCTTTTCCACTGCGTGGTACGACTCGGCTCGGTACGGCACAGCACGGTTTGCGTTTCCACTGCAGTTCAGTACCGCTTTAGAGTGGGCGGATTATTCACATGTCGTTATGTAAAAAGGTGCGCTCGTTCAAAACGGTTGCGTTCGATCCTTTGCTGGCTGTGCTGATTTAAATCTAGCGGTTCTTTTGTGTTTGTGTCGCAAGTTCAGTGACGCAGGTAGTGATGATTCTCTCCGGCCAATCCGTGATCAGCAGAGTTTACACGTCACGTTTTGGTAATGGTACGGTTCACTTGGAACCCCAACCGAAGTGGTACTAAAAAAAGTACCAGGTACCAGGTACTGTACCCAGTGGAAAACCCCCCAAAAGTGAATCGTACCGAGCCGTACCATGCAGTGGAAAAGTGACATTAGTGATTTTTTTTTCAGAGCAGCTTGACATTAATGAACAGGAAAATCATTTTAATGTTGTAAAATTCATCAAATTGTGAAAAAAAAAAATTCAGCAGTAAAGCAACTCTACAGAAGATTAAACAGCTCAATTGAGTTCAAAGTTAATCAATTATGAAATTTTCAAATAAGCAGCTCTACAGAAGGCAATAGTATTTATTCAGCTTAAATCAGTTTGATGTTGATTCAATTCAGTTCAAAAACAGTGTCAATGTTGCAAAGTTAGTTTCATTATCCAGCTCAATTCAAATTTTCTTCTCATCCGATAGTGTCTGTGCAGTTAAATTGATAATATTACTGAACATTAATAACGTTTAAAGCCATAGCTACAGTTTGTATGAAGCAGTACCATCCATCTGGACGAGCAGTTCAGCTTTGACACGTCTGCTGGCTTCATGTTCTTCAGAGTTTCCTCTACGGCTACATATGGAGTCTATCTCATCAATGAAGATGGTGGTGGGGGCATAAAAGCGTGCCTGTATAAACATGCAAACACACATACATGTATGTATGGTAATAAAACAGAAAGCAAGTTTGGCTACCATTTTCCATGTATTAACGTGGGGTAAAGCAGAAAGTGATTTTACCATTTCAAATAGCAGCCGCACAAGTTTTTCAGACTCTCCTCTGTATTTGGAGGTGAGGGTGGAGGAGGACACGTTAAAGAAGGTGGTTCGGCACTCAGTGGCGACAGCTTTGGCCAGCAAAGTCTTTCCTGTGCCTGGTGGCCCCACCATCAACACTCCCTAAAATCATATGCGAGTTGAGTTATTGTGTAAATGAGAAATATTAGTATATAATGCAGTGAAGATCACCCTGAAAGTGGATGGTAACACAATGAAAGTATGTTACACTGCAGTTAATTAATACTGTCCCCAAAAACAATTACAATACCCTGTAAAAGCTTTTTTTTAAAGAAATTAATATTTTTATTTCGCAAAGACACATTAAATTGATCAAAAGTGACAGTAAAGACATTTATAATGTTAAAAAAGATTTCTATTTCAGAGAAATGCTGTTCTTTTGAAATGTCAGTTTATCAAAGAATCCTGAGAACGTCATCAAAAAAAAAAACATCTGAAAAAAATGTATCATGGTTTCTTTCTTTGCCATTACTGACATAAATGACATTTTACAATTTATATAAAAAGATTGTTACTATTACTAATATTACTAATACTACTAATATTGGTGTTTTTACTGTATTTCTGATTAAATAAAAGAAGCCTTGGAGAGCATTTGCATGCAAGGAATTTTATTTATCTGAAAGATTTGGGATGGGGCTTTTTAAAATCCATAAAAGCATATGTGATTTTCTCTTGTTCATACCTTCCATGGGCGTCTTATGCCTTTAAAGAACTCAGGCATCCACATGGGCAGAACCACGGCTTCCTTCAAAAGCTTCTTGGCCTCCACAAGGTCAGCAATGTCATCCCTATATTAAAAATTATGCATTTTTATTATGCACATATTAAAAAGCGGATATTTGAAAAAATAAATGAGAAATGAAAGCACTTCTGGAGGAAAGTGAGATGACAGCAGATGAACACACCATGTGACATTGGGGTTTTGGGAGATGATGTCTCTCTCCAGAGTTTCAATCAGATCTTTGTCCTCTCCTCCTCTGTCAAACCTCTTCACCTCCATCTCCACACCCTCTGCTTTGTTCTACAGAGGGAAGAGTGTTTTGTCAAATCTTTTTTAAAATTATTTCTTAGCCAAAAGGTTCTGACAGGCTTTCCAGCTAAATTAGAGACTGTTGCAAATGTCTTTGCAAAAATGGTAAAAATCAAACTTCAGATTGAGAAGACTTCAACCAAAATGAGCTGCAAATACAGCAAGTTCTGTTATTTCAATCTTTGGACAAAACCAATGTGCTTATAGTCAAGTGTACAAAGGAAACACTTGCATGATTTTCCTTAACTCTTTCTGAACTGTTTGCAAACCTCTTCACCTCCGTCTCCACACCCTCTGCTTTGTTCTACAGAGGGAAGAGTGTTTTGTCAAATCTTTTTTTAAATTATTTCTTAGCCAAAAGGTTCTGACAGGCTTTCCAGCTAAATTAGAGACTGTTGCAAATGTCTTTGCAAAAATGGTAAAAATCAAACTTCAGATTGAGAAGACTTCAACCAAAATGAGCTGCAAATACAGCAAGTTCTGTTATTTCAATCTTTGGACAAAACCAATGTGCTTATAGTCAAGTGTACAAAGGAAACACTTGCATGATTTTCCTTAACTCTTTCTGAACTGTTTGCTTTGATGTAAGAAACCAGTATCACAGGTTTATAATGTTAATACAGCGAAAGGCATCTGATCCTTTGAGTAAATATTGTGACTGCAAGCACTTTATGACACAATAGGCCTTGTTCAAACAGCAGACAGAAATAGGAAATGGAGCCACATGTTCTTACCTTATCATCTTTTGGCTTCTTTTCTTTGCCTTTCTGAGGTTTTCCCTTGTCACCGTTGGCAACACGAGGTGAGGGTCGTGGTTGGTTGCGGGGGCCAGCGCTCAATCGGTTCCCGTGGCCTTTGCTTTCTTTATGCGGGCCGGAGGTTTTCCGCACTACACATGGAGACGGCCTGTTCACCAACACACAGACACATACATGTACAGTATACTACATACAATACAGTGTGACTGTGTTGACTCTGAAGGGGGCCTTTAACCATTTGATAATTTTTTTTTTAATATTATTTTTATTACAGTTTTTACAAAATCCAAAACAACCAATAACAATAACTCAGAACAAACAAGAGAAAAATAAATAAATAAATAAATAAAAACAAATAAAAAGAGACCGAGAAAAACAAAGCCTTCATTTAACAACAATCTGTGCGGTATATAAAATGAAAAGCAAAAAATGAGAGAAATAAAGAATAGCGACATACAAAAAATCGTATCCTACAATCTATAAAACAATTTTATTTTGATTTTGCTGAATGGAATGAACTGCCCTTAATTAACATAGCTGTAATTGCTCATTCAAGTGTTACATTATAATCAGATTATGGTTTATATAACAGGCTCAAAAGACCTTTATTAGCCGCAAGGGAGGAATGAAAGAGTATGAGGGGCTGAGAGACGGTGGGACGCCATTCAGATCTTAATCTAATTCACATGACAGGAGTGCTGATGGGGGCTTTAAAACTCAACAACAATTACTAAAGACAGGATTCCCACACAGTGAGGCCAATGCATTTCCAGGACTTTCCAGTTGTTTGAAATACTGGATAAGGTTTCTTAAAACTATTTTAATTCTTATAAAAAAAGGAGATTTTCATACAAGTGAAAACTGTAGTAAGTAAAAATTAAATCTACTTATATATATATATATTTTTTTGACACAAATTTCACGATTCGATTCTTATTCACAAGCTTGCGATTCGATTAGATTCAATATCGATTATTTTGGATATATATCAGGTACAGTACATGCCAAATTTTCTCAAGGAAAAAAACAAAACAACTAATGCTGTAAAATATACATGAGAGTCAGTTGGTACAACATTACTATAATATTGAAGGTTAAAAATAATGAAGTTTTTACAATAATAAAGTTAGTTACATATTAATATTTCTACTTCAATTCGTTTTTTTGAAACAAACATTTAAATGGTGGCTGTCATAAAAACTTTATGGCATATTTATATTCAAACATAAATTAAACATTGAAGAACAGTAAAAAATATAATGAATATGTTATATGGTGCATATATTAAACAAAATGCCCCTCTCTCTACAGTTTATTTTTCTAGCTGATTAATGGGTTTATGGTTACCGAATATGCTTTTTTTTCTGAGGCGCTACAGCGGTCTGTCACTCCACATTAAACGGCGCCAAATCGGCATTTATTGTTTAAATACTGCAATACAATGGACAGAATTTGAAATCTGAGACTTTGTTTCATATTAAAAGTACCAAAGCACAATGCTTATTGCGATATATTGGATGGGAGGTGCGCTTCAATGTTCCGTCCATTAACTGAAAACAGGCTTGAATAATCGATTCTTGGGATTTAAGAATAGATATAATTTCCGTAAAAAATGAGAATCGATTAATATCGAGATATCGATATTTTTTACCCAGCCCTAATTATTATATATTTACTATTTATTACTTTAAAAATGTTACTTTACAAAAAAAAAAAAATCCTGAACGATATCTAACTAATTAAATGAGCATAACTATACATTCAGTATGGAATTTTTCATGATATTTCCAATATTTTTTAAAAATGTTATTATTAATGTCCAATTTTGTAGGAAATAAAAATTGTAAAAGCACTCATGTTTCTAAGTTTTCCATGATCTTCTAAGATTTCCATGACATGACCATAAGAAATTAAGTGAAAAGTGAAAAAAGTTTCAACCAGTTTTGTCTTCTTTACACCAAATCCATCAACTGCCTGATGATGAACATCTAATTGGTCGAAAATCTGAAAAGTCTGATGACTTGCAACACAAAACACCATGTTATAGTCTACTAAACACGCTGCCCTATGCAGAATTCTTACATCAAATGTACTATACACACATGAGTAAAAGAGTTTCTATGACTCTGTGATGAATGTCAGGAGGGTTTAGAATAAAACCAGACACGAACATGTACCTGTGCTCCACGTGAACAGGCATAATGTCATTCTCCAGGCCAAAGCTGCTGGGTTTGGATGGGGTCGACTCCAGCTGGAAGCTCTCAAGTGTTGCCATGATCTCCCGAACTTGCTTAGTTTCCTCATTTATCTCCTGCCAAACCTGGATGAGACAACATGAACACCCAAAGGCCTGTCACAACAAGTGAATAACATTAAATAGTCTGAATCCTACTTTCAGGGAGTGTGAAGTGAGAAACTCTAACCTGCTGCCATTTCTGCTGTAGAGAGGAGTCTCTGACCGAGTAGAGGTATTTTCTGATCTGCTCCAGGACCCCCTGATAACAGACCACCGCAGAGCTGTAGTTCCCCAGCAGGGCGTATTCTCTGGCCAGCTTCACATTCTCATTGATCTCCGCCAAACTCATTCTGCTAGAGTTCAAACACAAAATACAAACAACATTTGTGAACGCAAATGGTGTCAGTTAATAACACTCATATAAACCACATAAACATGGGCGGAAAATTCAACGATGCAACGACTTCCAGACAGTATCCAGAAACAGACGCACAAACGTTTCGGGGACTACCAAGAAAATATGACAGGGAGGCATTAAACATCATGAGCTTACGTCAAAACAAACATTTCAACTGTATATTATAGCAGTGTGTGTATTTATCGAGTTGAATCGTACATACCTGTGAAGTTATCAGTCTTTGAAGTGTGTAAAACTATCCTGAAAGATGTTCGTAAAGGAAAGGCTCAGCATTCAGCAGTTATTACGGATCAAAACTCATGTGTGTGCTGCTTTGGACGAGGATTATTTTGAAATAATTTAGGATCCACACAAACTCACAAGTTCACTTCAGTAGTTCTCTTCTTTGGGAAGAGCACTTAAGATTGTGAAGACGGAAACAAAAGTAAAAATACTTCGCGCCGCTGCATTTCAACATAAAAGTCAATAGCGCGAGAATATCTTTTCAAAATAAAAGTGGAGTATGGAGATACAAAATTCAGTTATATAAAACGAATTAACTAAATATATAAAAAATACATATTAAACTAATAATATCTAATTAAAGAAAACTAATGCAATTAAATTAAAATAATGTAATAAAACAATGTTGTGAACGTAGACAGCAACGTTGCCATTGTAAAAATGGAACACGGCACCAATAATACAAACAAAATTTGTTACATCGTTGTTAAAAGGTTGCCTACATTGAGGCAACGTTGTGGTTGCTGGGTATATGTCTATAAGCTACAATTAACTTTTTAAACAGAGCTGTTTATTTTGTAGTCATAAAACCATAGACTGTATAGAATTAGTACTGCCAATATGAGTTCTATTTGGAGTCAGTTTTTAGAACAGCAGTTTTTGATTTAAGAGTAAAAGATCTGTGATTAACATTAGTTTAATTTTTTTTTCACATTTTGTTTTACAACAAAAATTATAGTCATAACTCCAAGTTAAAGTTTAACTTGGAGCTATGACTATAATTGCTAACAAGTTGCTAAATAAGGACTACTACAACTGCATAAATATACATTCACATGCCTGATAAATGGAACAATTGTATTCCTAATCATGTAGAACCTAACCCTAATAATAAAACCATAGACTGTATAGAATTAGTACTGCCAATGAGTTCTATTTGGAGTCAGTTTTTAGAACAGCAGTTTTTGATTTAAGAGTAAAAGATCTGTGATTAACATTAGTTTAAATTTTTTTTTTCACATTTTGTTTTACAACAAAAATTAGTCATAACTCCAACTTAAAAAGTTTAACTTGGAGCCATGACTATAATTGCTAACAAGTTGCTAAATAAGGACTACTACAACTGCATAAATATACATTCACATGCCTGATAAATGGAACAATTGTATTCCTAATCATGTAGAACCTAACCCTAATAACTACTGCTTCAGAATTAATGTTTGAGGTGATTCACTTTTACTATTCCAGAAATGTTATCCATAGAGGTAAATTTATGTGAAATAGTCATCAAATTTGTAAAAAAAAAAAGTTTTTTAACTTTTTAAAAAAAGTCTTCATCAGCAGCTTTTCATTACAAAAGTCAACCATCAATTCAGACCATAATGAAAACATGTCAAAAATGTTTTATTGTTATTTCCACGGTTATCAGCAAGTATCACATTTCATGAACCAAGATGAGGAAGATGACAGGAGACCATAGACGTATACCAGGTTACTGTTGCATTTGTAATGTGTACATGATGAAACCGTTTGTTTTCTGACCTTGCCTTTTTGACAAAGAATGCACAGACCGTGCAGAAAAATGTGTGTAAAATGTAACGGAATCAAAATACTTCAAAATGAAATGTTTTACTAGATATGTCTAGTAAGAGATGCAGGAATTGCCTACGAGGTTAAATCATCTGTAGGATACAGAACAGTGATTGAAATCACAGACAATTTAGAAGATCTTTCAAAAGTTTTCTTCACTTGCAGAAATTGTGCTTCTGATTGTAAAGAAGAAATAGCCAGTGATTCAGTAGCCAGAATCCTTTCAAATATATAGTGAGGAAGACGAGTCAGTACCAAAGCTTTAATTGAGAACTGTCTAGATGGGAATGTGGGTTTTTGTAAAGGCACATCGTTTTTCTGGGTAATCATAAATGGGTCTGAATGTGATTACTGACATGCAGTTGGACTTTTGTTTTTTTTGCATATGATATTATCAAACATTGGCAGTGCCATTCATACTAAATTTGTCACATTCACATTTACAAACTGGATGCATACAGGACAAGAAAGGGGGTGGGGAATACTATCGGGGTGGAGGTATCTTCAGCCAACATTCAGTCAGTTCAACTGAAGTTTTTCCACACATGGGCATCACATTTCCTTGCAGTTAAAGAAAAAAAAAAAGAAGATGTGCAAAGTTAATTGATGGTAACAACAATGGCAAAAACATTTCTGGTGACTGTGGTGATGAAAAGGATAAACCACTTCAATCAAACTACAAATTCAGTCAAATAAAATGAAGAAAAAGGCACATGTACAGCAGCCTGTCTAATGTCTTTGTGTGTGTGCTGTGTGCACTGATGTTTGGGACGACTAGCAGCAGTGGAACTTCAGTTTTACAGTTGTGTCTTCTGGCCCCTCTTAATTTGCTTCCATGTGGTCCATTACTGGTCTGTGGCGGTGACAAGCTCGAACCACTGTCTCAAAGCATCACTCAGTGTCTCTGGGAGGGCGTTCACATTTCGCAAGATAATGTAGAAGGGGAAGGGGAATTCCTCCATGTAGGACCGAATCTCCGGCAGCTCACCCGGCCCTTTAAATATGGGTACTTTGATATCCAATATGGAATCCTAACATGGAGAGATTCATGTATTAATATACATTAAAATTTATAATGCATATTTATTTCTTGATTTTAATTACATAAGTAATTTCATAATAAATAAAATTCTAATAATTTAAAGATAAATGTTGTTAATGTTTTATTAATGCTAAACAATTTTACTAATGCTAAATCATCTTAAGTAAAAAAATAATAATAAATAAGTATGGGGATCACTTGTATCTTCAAAGTTTTGCATAGATTTAGATGATGTCACAACATAAATGGCAAATTCATTTTTTTGTTTGTTTAGCTAAACCTGCATTGTGAAAACAAAATCCTGTTGAACCAATCGGATTCCTCACCCTGGAGTTTGGGTTATCCAGCACTACAAATATGACAAAGATGTTTGCACTGCGAGCAGCCTGAACAGCAGCTGCGACTCTCTCTTTCCCCTCCAAGAACAAACCGCGACCATCAGATACTATTAGCAGTAACTGAGACGTTTCTGTTAAGAGAAAGAGAGGGAAAAAACAAATCAAAGAAATGCATTAGAACAGAAAGAAAACGACTCATAACTAAGGGCTGCTTTGTTTACATTAATGTGATCAATTATTTTACCGGTGTTTGTCGAGCCAGGGGTCTGCTGTTTGGCTGCCATGAACATATTTGATGAAGTCTCTAAAAACTGAAAGAATAAAAATATTCCAAATGATTTTAATTGGCTGTGGGATAAAATCTGACAGTCACCACATTCCATATTACTTTAAAAATATTACACGATAATATAAATAAATGTAACACAAAACATAAAAATGAATTGAATTACACAAAATCAAGACCATCAGAAAGTCCAGAGAGATATTTACTTGAGCTATTCTGGTCTTTTTCTGCTGGAACTGACAGAGCCGCAGTATTTTTGCTCCTGTTTGGTCATTGAACTGCTGGTGGAAGGGATGGAGCAGCTGGACACTCTCTCCAAAACTACAGAAAATGAATTAAAAGAGAGATAAATTAGTGTGTGTATGCATGAATCTCTGCACCAGTATTTCTGTGCTCACCCATAAGAGTAAAAAAAAAAAAACCTCCACTGAACTCACCTGCACACAGCCACCTGACCCACTTCCAAAAGTGTGAGAGCGTTCACTATGACAGAAACCGACTCAAATGCCAGCTACAGGGACAGAAACAATATCAAATACAATATTTCTTAAAATAAATAAGGTAAAACATCTTTCCATTTTAAGAGGTTCACATTAGGGGTGTCACAATATACCAGTATTGAGAATAACTGTAATAGTTAAAAAATTATATATTGATATTATGTTAAAACAACACATATAATTATTGTAAATCATCCAACACTAGTAACTAATCTGGTTGATGCTCCAACATAGTAGGTGGCAGTATTGAACAAGATTCTTCCCCTGTCCCTCTGGAGGTCTGTGCACGCCCCTGCCATTAATGGTGTATTCTTTTGACCATGATAATAGTGTAGTGAAAATCTGATATTGTAACAGCCCTAGTTTACTTCAATTCAGTAGGTGATATTTAAAGGGTTAGTTCACCCCAAAATGAAAATTCTGTCATTAATTACTCATGATATGTTCATCTTCGGAACACAAATTAAGATATTTTTGATGAATTCTGAGACCTCTCTGACCCTGCATAGACAGCAATGTAATTACCACGATCAAGATCCAGAAACGTAGCAAGGAGATCGGTAAAATAATCCATGTGACATCAGGGGTTCAACCGTCATTTTACGAAGCTATGAGAATACTTTTTGTACGCAAAGAAAACAAAAATAACGACTTTATTCAACAATTCGTCTCCTCCGCGTCACCCTGGTGCCATTTTGGAGACCTTGATCGTGGTAATTACATTGCTGTCTATGGGAGGGTCAGAGAGGTCTCAGAATTCATCAAAAATATCTTAACTTGTGTTCCGAAGATGAACGGAGGTCTTACGGGTTTAGAAGTGAGTAAAGAATGACAGAATGAATTTTTGGGTGAACTAACCCTTTAATATCTAAAGTGATTTGGGGAGACTGTACCTGTTTGGAGTGGTTGTCCACCATACTGGAGGAGTCATCCACAGCCAGGCAGATCTGGTAGTTTCTCTTACTGGGTTTTGTTCTCCTCAGCCAGATCTTATCCTTGCGGAACTGACTGGCGATGTAAGGAATGACCTTGCGCATGTTCAGCCGTTTACCTGTGCGGAAGTCTCCCCTGTTTAGGATCATTAAACAGTGTTAATGGAAAAGTAAAATGTTGAGGAGAACTGAAAGAAAACCCAAATGTTAGATGGGAAGGTAGAGGGATTGACCTGAGTTTGGCAGCCTGCGTGGGCTCCAAGACAAGGCGGAGCTGCTCACAGAGCTGCTGGGACAGAGGAGACGTCAGAGCCTGGTACTGATGCCACAGCACTGCTGCCGCACTCTCCTGAGGGAAATGGAGTAATAAACAAAACAAAAAAAGAACAGATGGCATTAATAAAATAAAAATAAAAAATTACAGTTTCGATATGTGAGGTAAAGAGAAGAAGCTCAGTTGTCATGTGACTGGTGTTATGATGTCACCTCTTCG